CAAGACTTTGGACATCTCCATGATATTCAGGACAGTAGGTTGGCTAGAAGTTGATTAATGAGTCGTTACAGAGTAGCTACAAGTCTCACAGGTTGTGATTAGTAGGATGTGGACTCACTTTCAGACTGGCTGGAGACCTGTACAGGGTTGACCATTGCCGATAATCCCGCAAGAAAATGGTTATTTGGCAATATGTAATTGGCCAACCGGATCAACGCGTTGTAAGTTAAATAGTCTCATGAGTACAAAAGATAGAAGAGACTGATTAATATGGGATTTACAAAATTCCTCGTATCTGTAGTCGAGTTTATACTGGCCAAACGTTTAGAAATTTAAAGTTCAGGATCAAGGAACATAAAAACTCGGTAGAAAAATACAAAATAAATAAATCAGTATTAGCAGAACATGTGGCGGAAACCTCCCATGTTATAGACTGGAGTAACACTAAGTTGATAAAACAGGGAAAATATAAAATTGAATTAAATATCAGAGAAACTATCGAAATGGAAAAAACAAAGATATTATATTAAACAAGGAAGCTGGTGCAGATCTAGAAATAATAAAGTACTGGACAGATGTGTTGTAACTCATCTGTTAGTTTAAGCCTAGATGGAATTACTGGTATGTAAATGATTATGTGGGTATACAAGACCCAATTATGCCTTTTCCGTTACTCCTGAGGATGGTGTCATAGGACACCGAAATATATGTAGTCTTTTTTAGGACAAGTCCCTGTTTTTAATAAATATTTATTGTGTAAAGATTTTAACATTGTATTCCTTTTAATTGTAAATAGGTGTTTTACACAAGTGTCGTTTTAAAACATTTATTTAACAACTTGCATGGAAGAACAGGGTATCGAGTGAATGGACTGACCAGAACGCTCACCAAATTTGAATCTGATTGAGCACGTATGATATGATCTAGGAAGACGCTTGACATCACGCGATTCATCTCCATAACATCAAAAACCTTATTAAAAAACGTTTTCTTGTCATTCATAGAGCTACAAAGCAGGTAATACTAGCAGTAGTAGGTCTATAACATTAACAAACGTTTTCTGGTCATTCATAGAACTACAAAACAGGTAATCTAGCAGTATTATGTCTATAACATTTGCAAGTCAACTTAAATGTCACTTGTTTTACATTTAAAAAAAAAAAACGCTTAGAGATGACAATGACTTTATGTAGTAACAGAAGTTGCATCTTGTCATAGCAAGGACATCGTAAACTCTGACCATCCTTTAACTGTTTTGAGCAGCATACGTACGAAATACTGGCAGGAATTTCGATTTGAAGACTTCCGAGGTTTTCCTCGGAAGACAACCAGGGGTGCTCGAAAACTTATGTTCCTCTTCGCCCCACTCGTGGTTGTGGTAGGGGCAAATTCTTGGGTATAGAACTTACATCTTGGGCTACACATTCGTTGTTTGTCTTACTGGACTGAATAATTAAAGCTTGATACTCAAACACAAACAAACGGACGATCTCGAACTTATGGTCCTAAGGGTGGCAAGGATCTATAAATCCAATGCCAAGACAATTAGATATGGAGAGGGGAGACAGAAATACCCCGAGAAAACATGAAAGATATTAAAAGGAAACTTGGGTTGATGTGAGGAGGCAAGAGTGAAAGGTGTGACTGTAGGTTAATATATCGTGGAGTTTTTCACTGCTCTGAGGAAGGAACTATGGCTGGGAAGAAGTTTATTCGAGGTTGGATCTTCGACGTCACTGGTGGAGGGGCGACGGAAATTGAGCAGTGTACTTGCAGTTGGGGAGCTTTTATGTCAGAAACATCGGCGCAGAATAAGTAATGTGATAATGTAGAAACCATTGAGAAAGGTGCCAAAAGTAAATTTTAAAAATATGCCCATTCTATTTTATGATTCAGATGCTGCTGTCTATTATCAGTGAAGTATTTTTGCAGGTGTACTTTTATAATGGAGTTAAGAGTTCATGATTACATGTACAAGTTAATGAAGTAAGACAAAACGTAGTGGTTTACAGAGTTCATGCAGTTGACATTCGCTCAATCAAACAATAATTAACAAGTGTGTAAGAGAAATTACACGCTCAACTAACTTAGGTATGCTACTGGAATGTGTACATGTTATCATTTAAGCACGTGATACACAGTCACTATCGGGCCTATGATAATATTACATTAGCAGATGCTCGTTGAAACAATTCAACGGCAAATTTCCTAAACACAGTGATGAATAAATTAAAATTTGCAATCAACCAAATGATTTGGATCATAGTGTACATGCAATATGATTATCTAGTGGGCCGTTTACCACCGTATTTTGTCATTCCACGTGTTATTTCAGTAACGAAAATTGCATTGCGTTTGTTTTTAAGCACAAGAGACTGACTGCAGTGCACTGTTGGCAAAAATGTTTTGGTTTCGATGCAATGCGTGAATCCAGCACAATAGAGCGCTCAGATTCACTAAGAAGCCGTAGGAATTTTTTTCTGCTGGACACCATCGTTCCTTGTCATTTTACTGTGCGCAGGAAAAGACCGCTACCTAAGCGAGCACTTCTTTGACAATTGTCATTTCTATTAGAAGAGTCAGAGGGGAGATATTCATATCAAAACAATATATTTGCCATGGTAAGATAAAATCATGCATGTATATAATACGTACATGACAATATATATATAAACTGATCAACAAATATATGTTCAAACACGTTCTTCTCTTAATGCCCTTTTTCCGTCCAGATTCTTATCTTCTAAAAATTTCTTTCAACCAGAATACGGAGGAAGTCTCGATTTGTTTCGTGAAATTCTCTCACAAAAAGAAACATTTTTCTTCTTATGTTATTTTCTCACATTGACCGTTAAGCACTTACAAAGACTGATGGATCGATGTTGATATCAATATAAAATTTTAGGAAGTGCAAAAAAACTATAATTTTCCACTAATATACTCTTGAAAAGAAGCATTTGGATATATATATATATATATTTCTTATTTCTAAGATTAACTGTTCAGGAGATACAAAGTGTGACAGACAGACATTTAGCTGTTATATATATAGATACTTACATTATAGATTATGTGTATAATGTACACTGAAAGTTCCTTTTAACGTCTGGTGACGATAATACACCGTTAATTCTAGTAGTTTCTCTCTAGGTACTTACAATAATTGTGAAGAAACAATTTAACAGTTTCTGATACCAAAATTGAGGAACTAACTTAATAAGTGGATTGGCACACAGGATCAGCTAGGGTTATGTTGCTAGTAGTGATTTGGTTTGTTTTGAATTTCGCGCAAAGCCACAAGAGGGTGATCTGCGATAGCTGTCCCTAATTTAGCATTGATTGACTAGAGGGAAAGCAGTTGTCAGCACCACCCACCAACTACTCTTGGGCTACTCTTACCAACGAATAGTGGGATTGAGCGTCATGTTATAACGCCCCCACGGCTGAAAGGGCGAACATGTTTGGTAACGAGGGATTGGAACCCGCGACCCTCAGATTGCGAGTCTCGCTCTCTAACTATCAGGCCATTGCTAGTAGTGAAGAGGTAGAGATTGAAATGCATAGTTTGTTTCGTGTCTTTTACTCCGAGTGAAAGATTTGGCAAAATTTAGAAGCATACAGCTCAAGACGAAATACAACAGAGTTAAATTCTTCATTTCCATGCATTAGCCGGGGTGACTTTAGGTTTGTTTGTCTGTTTGAATTTCGCGCAAAGCTACACGAGGGCTACCAACCGCCGCCAACTCTTGGGCAACTCTTTTACCAACGAATAGTGGGATTGACCGTCACATTAGAACACCACCACGACCGAAAGGGCAAGCATGTTTGGTGGGACGGGGATTCGAACCCGCGACCATCACCTGGTCGTGAGTTTAAAATGCCTTCCCCAGCAGAACCCCTGCATCATTATCATCATTAAACATGTATACATAACATTACACAAACTAAATGTTGTAATTTTTAGTAAATGTTTACTTTAGCAGGCCTATCTGTGTCTTACATCGAACTATTTGGATCCAGAGGAACCTGACTATTTATGCCCCCCCCCCCTCCTGCTGTCACATTAAACATCATTATATTTTGAGCAGAGTATTTGTCCATTAACACAGTTCCTAGGTCGGGAAGACAGGGCATGTGACTTAAATCGAGCTAGCCGATTCCACTAAAAGCAAAATTAAAATGAAAACTTTAATTGACTTTGCCGCCCTATGCTATTACCTACCTACTAAAATTGAGCCTATATAAAGCAGCTTTTTTCCGATTAATTCCAGGGCTCCCCCCAAAACCCAGTTACATTATCTAAACATTAAAATCAATCAATTATTTTTCAAGAGTTTATTGTTGATTGTTTTCAACGTATGCCCAGAATTAATTATTTTTATGTGCTAAAACGCTTTACCATATATACAACTTAATTAACTTATGTTAAATGTTTCATTTTTGCTCGTAGATGCTTCTTTTTTTTCTTTTTTTTTATTGACTCAGACCTTTAAGTTATCTCTTGTAAAGAAGAGAAAATAATTTTTAAGCTTAGGCAAATTGTCCTTTTTTCATTTGTGGATTAGAGTACTGTTTGCTGAGAAACTAAATAGTGGCGATATTTTTTTGGTATAAGAAGTATTTTGTGTTAAAACACATCCAAATGATGGTTAAGTAGTGAATTAAAATACCCTTAGTTGAGAGATCTTGGTGACCCTTGTGGGACCCAAAATTCCTCGATGGGGATTACATATACACGAATTTTCAGTATCTTTCTAATAGACCCACGGGAGGAATGCTACTATCGTTTGAGAGGACTTGAACAGAGGTTTACTAAATGCACGATGAAAGAAAGAATTTATTAATTGGTGTTTCAAACATGTCTACAACCAAACCATGTTGGCTGTAAAAGAGCTCCAATTAGTTCAACACGAACATTCTGCACTCCCACAACTGAGAGAAACTGCACACAACTAAGTGGAAGTTTTCGATTGGGTTGCTAGAGAAACACAATCACCTACCTGCTAAGCGTGTCTATTCTTGCTTCCAGGACGGTGAATTCTGACCGATCTGGATGAGAAGGGTGTGATTTGGATGTTTCATCAGCAGGGGATAGATGATTACATGGGAACGAGGATGACATAGGAATGGTTAAACTGGAACTACTTGGCGCTCGGGTGGTAACATAAGTGCAGTCCGAGGTCACCTGGCCGGGCCCAGACGTACACCTTATGGGTTGGTCTGTTGTGGGGGGTAATATAGGTGGTGCAGTGGCACTAGTTGAAAGAGGAGATCGAGGAGCATCAGCAAGAGGCATGGAGACAGACTTTTTAACAGAAGAGGGAGGAACACCTTGGAAAACTGCAATACCAAATAAATGTATCATAACATTATAAAGTACGGAAGAGGGAAGTTAAAGGAGGATATCAGATTACAAGTATAGTACAAAGTATGGCTTAAAAAATCGCAGATAACACGTTAACGTTCATTAATCATTGTGTTTTGTTTACTTCTTTGGATTATTGAAAGAATTTCTCTCAACTAATCTTCTGATATTTAAAAAGTTCACAAGAAATTCCCACCTGCACTTTAACGAAACCAAATAAATAATAATTTCAAATATCAAACAAACTAATAATTAATAAGTGAACAAAAGCAGATCATGCCTGTCAAGTATTAAGTCAGAAATCATGTTTCCAGGCTAAATCAAGAGTTGTTCATTCACAAAAGTTAGTAGATTGTATCTGAAAGTACATTAAATATCACGATTTTCAAGCTATTTACTATAAATCATGCTTGCAGGCTAAATCAAGAGTTATGTCTTTCACAGAGGTTAGTAGATTGTATCTGAAGAGTTACGTGACACAGGATAGTCATATCTATAAAATAAAATAAGAATTCTCACTTTAGAGGGGTTTAAAAACTGAAAGTAATAGCTGTTTACTAAAAGTTGTGGGCAGATAGATGAAAAACGTATTTTTTTTCCTTGCCAAAGTAAGAACAAATGCAGGGAATGAAATAAAACATAGATGGATATTACGAACACGCCAAAGGAAGCAGTCAGGTGTTAGGGCTAGAAATGTCATTAACGTATAGTGAGGATTTTAACTATAAATATATGAAAACCTAAATCACGGATCTACTTGAACATGTAGTAGAAAATCATTACTGTACGCACAGGATGCATTTTAAATATCAAAATTCAACCATCTTAACCGGAAAAAGAAAAATATTGTGTTAATAGGTTAAGTGTTAATATTAAAAACAATAATCAAATATTTACACCTTTCGTAAGCTATGTAATAATAACTTTCAAGTTATTTATATTCATGTATTAAATAAGTCTTAGTTAGCTGAAACTAATTAATTAATAACTCAAAACATTTTCAGCTCTCATAAGCTAAATAATAACTTTCAAGTTAGTTATATTTATGCATTAAATTAGTCATAGTGAACTCAAACATTAGGAGTAAGGATCAGTTTCAAACTGCAGTTATCCTCCTGAATGTTTTGGATATAAGGTAATCACACAAGTTTTGCTCCTTTATTTGTTTTAATGCACTAAACAATATTATAAAATGAAAAATTCCAATTAGTTTAATGAAATCTCCTATATTTCAACAAACTACCATTAGAGTGTTATTTCAAACAATACCCAAACCATTGTCACTTTTCAGAATAAATCTGGACGATCAGGTCTCACTAGGTTAGAGAATGTTTAAAAAAAAATACTTACTTGGTTCTGTCAGATCAACATGAGGAACCTTATCTTTCTCAGTTTCATCCACTGAGCCAACCTTGGATCCTGGCCGAAGGGATTTTACATTTCCTTTTCCTTCTTCCATCCTTGCAACAGGACTCGATGAACGAGACCGGGATACTGGAACTGCTGAAGCTCCTCCAAACACCGCACTAGTCAGGTTGGTAACGCTAGAAAGAGCACCTGCTGATTGAAAGAATACACTACATGTAGAACGTTAAATGTTATCCTGCCATAGGTGAGTCGGCATCGAATTCAATTGACCAGTAAACACTTAGATGTACTTTTTTTCGTCTATTTTGATCATAGTCAAACTCTCTTCTAAATTTCAAGGGTTTCCTACACGATATAATTAACATATACCGGTAATAAAGACTAGATTGTGTATTTTGTTAAAAACCAAATTTCGTAAAAATATTTTGTAATTACGAATATTAACTTTTAATTGTTCAGAAGTATAATTCGAACCACATTTTACCTTTGATGGTAAATAACATTTAGAAAAATCTCCCACCGTACACAAATTCTTAAAAAAAAACTGCCTTTACAAGTTTTTAGAAACATTTTCCTATAAGATGTGGATAAGTCATTCATTACTTTAATTTTGAGGGGAAGACCATGACAGCTTCTTCTGATAGAGAAGACTACAACACAAAGTTGAAGTCGCAAGTAATATTTTGTCATTATATCTTTCTTGTATGTTGCAAACGATCCTCATAATTTGATAATATCTAAATAGGCTTAGTAAAAAACACAGTTGGTTATATCTAAACAGGCTTAGTAAAAAAACAGTTGGTTATATCTAAACAGACTTAGTAAAAAAAACAGACGATGAATATGTCTAAACAAACTTAATAACATTAAACAGGTATTGGTTATGTGTAAATAGGTTTAATAATACAAAACAGGCGTTGGTTATGTCTAACCAAGCTTAATAACATAAAACAGGCATTGGTTATGTGTAAACAGGTTTAATAACACAAAATAGATCTAATAAGATAAAAAAACAGATGTTGGTTAGTTCTGCCAAATCACTCCCTTCATTTTATAACACGATCGACGACCCCTATAATAAATAAAGCAAGACTTCTTAACGTTGATTCGACAGAAAACACTTACCAGCAATGGAATGAATTGTACCATACCGCTTATCAGACCTGTCATTAAATTCTAAGTTTGCGGGAGTTACGTCTCTGCCTGCCATATTTGGCGAAAACTCCAAGATTCCCGTCCCACTATATCCCCTATCATCATCTTCTTCAATCAGACCCATGATACCGTCCGAGGTGTGACGTAAAGTTGACTGCCTCCGCCGTCTAGGTCTGGGATATTGATATGCTGTAGCACGGGGGTCTTCCACTACAAATAGAAATGTTTCTTTATAAGTATATAATTATTACCATAATTAACACTTAATAAAATGATTACCATAATTAACACCCTAAATAATCATTTCAGATCACTCTAATTGTATGTGATAAATACATATTTATATAATCAATCTCAAGTCACGCACAAAAATGTGATAACACATCAGCTATGAATGAAACTCAAACACAAATTAACATCTTATAAATAATTTATGTAACCTTACAAACATATTTTAATGTATATCTTACATTTTTGTTGGCTGAACGAACTATATTAACAATCTTATAAAACCAGAAGAAGTAAATATAATTATGAGTTTTCAACTTTGTGTAAAGAGAGAGAAGTGTTGTTCTGTGACGATACATTTATTGTCACAGCCTAATTCTCTGAAAATAAGTAAAAGGCTTCATCTCTGGAAAAAAAGGAAGCAATGTAGTTCTGTAACAATACACATACTTCTGAAAGACTGAGTACAGCGATCCAGTGTGGTCCTGTGAGAGTAAATATACCTCTCAATGCCTTCAGCTTTGTCTAAACTGATTCAAAATGAACTAAGGAAAGTTGCCAAGTTATAAAGAGGAAGAAAAACAAAGGTTGAATTTTGAAAGTCAAAAATTGATAAAGAATGGACTAATTAAGATTGGCAAATATAAAAGTTTGAAAAAAATAAATATTTTTTTTTTAAACGAAAATGAGGGAATTGGGGATAATAACTTAAACGATAAAGGTGGAAGAGAAGAAAGATTAATCAAGAAATAGGATTAACAAAAGAAAGGTTAAGAAAATGTTTTGGGATGCAGCAGGACTTAAGAATAAAGTTGGAGGATTTTAGCAACTTGTGAAGAAATGTGGCACTATTGGGTTAAGTGAAACTTGGTTAGAAGACGAAGATATGGAAAGATCAAATTACTGCAAGATAATAAGAAAACAAGGAAACGTCAGCAAAAAATTTGTGGTATAAATTTAGTGGAAATAAGAAGAGAGTTAATAGAAAATTAAGAATGGCAAAGTGACAGAGGAGAATTTGTAGGCAGTTGTAGTTTCAAAGGGTTAAAATGGAAAATAGGTACTGTTTATAATCATGAAAAGACAGAAAAATTGATGTGAGAAGTAGAAAATAAATTACAAAATACATCAAGAAGAATAAAGATGAATAACGATGGGAGATATGAATGGACAGGTGGAAAATTGACCTTTTTAGAAAAAAGACAATTAATGAAACAAGAGAAAAGGTATATACAAAAAAACATCATAATATAATATATGTAACTCTGAAAGAAAGAAAATGCTGAAATGATTAGTACTTAATGGACAGAAAGTACTGAATGATGCAAAGAAAGTGGTTGAAGATTGAGATTGGAAATCTTATATTTATATTTTATTGTTCTTATATTTTAATAAGAGAAAAATCAATTATACATTATCACTATTGTAAATGATGGAGCAATTGAAGATATTGAGAACTTTGAAGCAAGAGAAAGAGTAGAGTCAAATCCTCAACTATGTGGACCACACTGAAATTCAAGATAAAAGAAGATCCTGTAGAAGAAAATGATAAAGTAAAAATTGTGTGGTCAGATGATGGAGTTAAATTGTTTGGAGAAATACTGTGGAATATAACAGGTAAGATGATGGAATAGTGCATAAAGAACAAAAAAAAGTTGAAAGAATAAATTTATCAAGCAGTGGAGAAAGAGAGGAAAAACGTTAAATGTTCGGACAAAGAATGTATCAAGGAATATAATTCTAAAAGAGAAGTTGAGAAAAACTAAGAAGAGTAGAGGGAAAGAAAGAGATAGAAATCTTGGAATTAAAGGAAAATGTAAAGAGTGCCATCAAAAGAAGGAAGAATTGAAAAAAATTATATGGATAGAATAAAAAAGGTTAAAACAGAAAAATGTCATGGAATTTTATAAGATAAAACAGAAACAAAAAGGAGAAGAGTGGGGATAAATAAAAGGATTTGACCAAGAGTTGGAAGAACATTTTATGAGGATGTTGCCAGGTGGTAAAAAAATGGAGAAGTCAAAGAGAAACTTTGGAAAATACAAAAAGAGGTCAGAGATAATGGATGGGAAGGAATGATATCGAATTAAAAAGTGAAAAGACATATAAATAATTTTAGAATAGTAAAGTTCCTGGACATGACAGAGCGTAGAATGATATATGCAATAGAAGAAATTACTGAAGAATTGACACAAATATTAAATAAAATTTGGAGATGAGAAGGTTCACAAATGAATGGATAATAGTGGTATTATGTCCAATTTGTAAAGAAGGAGAAAATCATAATATAAGTTATCATTATGAAATGTCACTATTGAGTACAAGTCACAATTTATGCTGTATACTTGAAGAAAGAATAAATGTGTGGATTCCAGATAAGAATATTCTTCTAGTGGATCATGTTGGATTTAGGAAATGAAAAGGGACCCTACTTATATAGTATTTGCAAGAACTGGAAGAGAACAACTCTGGAAAGAGATGTGGAGGGGGGAAACATCCAAGTATAAAAAAAAGAGATATAAAAGCAGGATGAAAGGAGGTGGACAAAGCAATGTTGGTTAAAAATAATAAAAAAGATATTGGGAAAGAATCAAATGGAATAGAAGATAAAACAAACACAATATAGAAAATAGGCTACTTTCATGAGCCTTCACATGTAGAAACAAGAGGACAAGATGTAACACTCATAGTGATTAATAAACAGAGGAAATATATATAGAAAATAGATCAAAATATAATGAACTTTATGAAGGAATTTAAAATGTGGGGGTAGAAACAACCTATTTAAATTAGTTATGATATATGAAAATGGATCAAATGATTATTATTAAAGAATTTAGATGTGGAAAAACTAAAGGGAAATAAATATTAGCTAAAAGAAGGTCAATTATATGATTTATGTCCAGAAAATAAGCAAATGATGCAATATTTGATAGTAGAATGTAAATGATAGATTAGGGTTAACTGTATACCAAGAATAAGGTAGATGCTTAAGATCGTGGGTGGAGATGGAGACGTAAAGTCTACAGAAAGTATCGATGGATAAGTAATGGTGACTGTTTGCAAGTAAAATTGGTTGTATTGTAAATATATTAACTTTACTGAAGCTAATGTGATTGTATTGTTAATACATTATAGTTACTCATACTGGATAATGAAACAGGTTAAAGAAACAAATTTGTAAAATAATTAATTATATTGTTTTTGAAATTACCCCTTTCTTTGACCCAAGAGGGTAAAAGAAATGAACTTATCATTTTTATACGTACACTAGGTACTTACGAAATAATTCCCCAAACTTACCTTATAATCAGGTTATAACAATAACATAAAAAATATAGTTCAAACCTTCTTCAGGAGAGATTATTTGACCATAAGCAGATTTCCCGCGAAAAAATTCTGGGTCAAGCGCTGCCTGATATTCCTGAAAAAAAAATCATTGAAAGTGACCTCAGTGAATCATATCTGTAAAAACAATATGATATACTCGCCAATTGGCAAGGAATTTGAATATACAACATGTCACTATATGCAATTAGCAAATCATTACTGTATGCTTTCCCAACAGAAGTATACTGGCCATAGAGGTCACCGGGAAATGTTTCGATGGAGAAGACCCAATTGCTAAAAGTGAAAGATTACTGAGGTGTATCATTAGACCATCTGTAAGTTAATAAAGTGAGGTCTAATGATACACCTCAGTAATCTTGTCTGTAAGCTAATAAAGTGAGGTCTAATGATACACCTCAGTAATCTTGTCTGTAAGTTAATAATAATCACTACCGCGTAAGCACTGACTATGCATTCCTTTCACCCTAGGTAAGAGAAGCCGACTTCACTAGGGTTGAAGGCCGGTTATTATACAATTTCCCGGTGACCAAACATAAGTGACAATTCACCCTTGTTTTCCAGTGAAATATTCGTTTACCTATCAGAAGATCGTATGTTATTAATAATCACCTTATTAGGATAACAGAGACTAGGGAACAGTGGAAAACAAATACAAAATATGGTGACAGAGAACTTATTAGTTACGTACGTCCCGGAGATTGAAGGTTATTTCCAAGTTTCCGGTAAAAGTTTCATAGAACTCTGGATAAAGTTCCAGTACGTCCAGAAGGTCTTCCCGGAGAATCTTGTGGAGGTCACAGTAAGTCAAGGCACGGACGTTACAGCTGGACTTTCCCACTGTCTGGTGCAAACATGGGTTTTCTCCAAACACATCACCTTTCCCTGCAATAAAAGATCAAAAGTATCCATTATATCTGAAAAACGAAAGACTATGTCTGCAAAGTAAGGAAAACGTTTATTGAATAAACTGTTGAGAAACAGGTTACTACGACATTGATTAATATTATTCTTTACGTTCATCTTTATAAGAAAGCAATGCAAATTACACATAATTTCGATAACCTCTGAATATCTCGTGTGTGTTTGCAAATACTGCCGTTACATTTCAAATACGAATACTATATTCAAGTTGAGCATTAAAAATTGTTTTACAAAATAACAATCCAATTAGCACCGCCATGTTCATGTCACCATAAAATCGAGAGTTGAATACGAAAAGACTAAAAAAAAAGTCTTTGCTTCGATGAAATATCTAAAATGATGTCGAGTTTATAGTGTAAGAAAACAGAAGCAGATGAAGCTAAAACATAAGTTAAAAAATCAATATCAGGCAGGTCGTAGCACTGCCTATGTAGGATGGCTCGGACTGTTTAGCGAAATTGTATTTTAAATATCTCCTCATTAAGTCATCAGAACTTTACAATACTATACAGTGTTTCCTTTTATAACTATCTATGTAATGACTGAGTCACAAGTTCTTGGAATGTCTGTAAGTATCATAATAAAAAGTTTGAATTTCTTATTTCTGCTGCTTCTTTTTTATTACATGATAACTCAAAAACCAAAACAATGTTGTAAGTCAATTTCACTGAGGTGACGTAGTTTCAAGCGGAGCATTCGCTTTTATAAGCATTATTAACGAGTAGTAATTTTAAAAAAATCATAATTCTAGCGTAAACGATCTTATCATTACTTCCTTGAAGCTAGCTTTCTTACAGAAAGCTTAAATACAGGGTGAAACAGGAATTACCAGCCAATACTAGATATACAATAAATATTACAGTTAGAACCTCATTGTACTTAGAACTTTGTTATAAATACAACCTTCCTATGTCTATTGAAACACTGCATTAAAAAAAACAACAATGAAACAAGTAAAGAAAAAACTTTTCAAAAAAGAAAGTAAATGTAGGGATGGTTAATATCAATCCCTCAAAAAAAGTGCAAACAAGACAGTATCAACTCTACATAATAGGACTGGCACACAGTGTATTAGAATGTTAAACAAAAATAGGATAAATTAAACTCAATTGTGATCGAATAGTTATATATATATATATATATATATTGATATATGTTAATTCTTGTCTGTAAATATACTTTAGTAGACATTTTGTACAACAACATATTAAAACTTATCAGTTTTTAAAAAGTTCTAACATTAAGTAATAGAAGAACATTATAAGTTGATTTATTGATAGTTTAAAGTTAATTTATATCTTTATCGAATATAGGCTGTACTTAATAAAGGCTTAACTAAGATTAGGCCTAAGGCAAGTGCACTAATAGATTTTGTGTCTGTAATTATAAATATTTTGTATTATTTTAGAAATGCTGTATTTAAATAATTACCTTTGCAATAAAGATACCAATTTAAACGCAAATGTCTTGCGGGTGTCTACTAGTTATCTTAGAATTTTAAGTCAGTAATTTGAAATATGGTAGGTTTATAATCATGATAACTATTTACGCCAGAGGACTTCGATATTTACCTTTTAGGACGTCCAGTTAACCTCTTTTCATTTATTTCAATGCTTGAAATAACTTCCACATATTTAAGTTCAAATAGCTTATGAATTCATAATGCTCTTTTGCAAGATCAAGTTATGCGGAAATATGAACGTTCTTTTCATTTTGGCATTATATGCAATTTCAAAGAGCAGATTGGTAAATAGTAGTTTTAGTGACGACTGACAGGTTTTAATAAATTGCCCAATATTTCCCTTTCCATTAAATGAAGTTTTAGGTAACGTAATTTAATCAAGAATAATAATTATCTTCTGGGAGACTTGGTTGCCAAGACCTGAAGAAAGCACACTCAAAAGACGTAACACATTCTGTGACACATTTCACAAATTTGCTGGGGTTATTTAGAGGAAATGATTATTCAACACATTTTTCCTGTACATCATACTGTTGTTTCTATCGTAGTCACCGTGTATGTGTGTGTATAAATGACGAGAAAAGAAACAGATTCACTTTAAATTAAGTTAAAAAATATATAAAACCATGTTTTAAAATAACAACACATTTAATTTCTTACAGTTTGTAGGAAACACATGGCTTTTAATGAGACTAATTTAGCTCCAGAAATGTTAAGCAACTCTGCACTTAAAAACGGAAGAAACACAAGCCCACCAGTACGCGGAGTTATGTAGTAGTGGCACATGGTCATCCTGTTATTTCGTTGTACCGATTTCATTTATAGACCTGTGTTTTAGTGATAACAAAACATGATCATAACTTCGTTTCATTGTACAAAATTTTTGTCACATGTAATTTGGTAGCAATGGTAGCAATTTGGTTTCGTTGTACCAGTTTAATTTTCGTCACTCATATTTGACGGTAATGAAACATGGCGAATCAGTCTTTTCATTGAGCCAATCTTATTTATTTAAATACAGTCAATCTCTATTTGGTGATTTGGACTCTTGTAAAATTTCTTTTAGCGCTTATGGCGTATTGATGGGTAACATATTCCACGTATGAACAACTGAATAATGCATATGAATGCAAAATGACAAACACCATTAGCTACCCAACTACCGAAATAAAAACAATAGAGAAATAAAGAGACAAATGAATTTTGTTTGAATTCGTTTAACTTTACAGTTTAATATAGTTAACTGTTTATTTTATTTTTAGATACACCGTCACTAAATACTCAGACATGATATTTATAAAATGTTGGATTATACAATACAATATGTTGTGACATACGTATAGTTCGTGTACTCACCGTGTGAATGTAACATTGATCGTTTCTTTTTAGAATTTTCGCGCAAAGCTACATATTAGCTGTCGTCCCGAATTTTGAACTTATAGATTAGAGAAAAGACAGTTAGTCAAGAACACTCAATGCTATAACTCCTGACCTGGTCGAATAGTGGGACTTAACTGTCACCTTTATAGTGCAATCCTGGCTCCAAAGTGTGGAGTGGGTTTTTGTGAGACTGGGACGCGAGCCATGAATCATTTGGTTCCCATTCTGAGCACACTAACCATTATATCATGCTCGCCTCTGCGTGAATCTACGATAACGTTACTCCCATCTCCGAAAAAGACATGAATATCTGTGCAAGGTTACACTTTAAACATAAGTACCATAATCCAAACTTCCATTATAACTGGATAGTGTAAATCTATCGTTAGTAGGTTACGCTCTAAAACTGGTTAATGTTTTTCTTACTTAATCAATCAGCATAATACAATACAACATTTTGTGTAAAAAACAGGCTACACAATTCTATGAACAAGTTACCTAATATTGCCATCACTATGCCATCTTTTAAAATTTCTATTGTTCCTCTGGAAATAAAATACAGAGCAGTAAGAACATCCCCACGATGTACCAAAGTGTCACCAGGTGGCGCATGAGTAGTTTTAAACTTCATAGAGAGTGCCCGCAGACATCCGGGGCTTGCATCTTTAAATGGAGGAGTATTTTCCAAAAGCTGTCTATTGAGGTGAAGGCATATGTCTGCTTGAAGACATTCTGGAAATCCCTTCAGCACCTGTGAATGAAAACCCCAGTAACGAACAAAACATATGAATAGGTTCAAATAATAAATAGTTTATACGAATAACTAAAATTCGGTGACATGTGAGATTGAAAGGGTTCGGGGTAGTGAATTAAGTGTTTAGTGCCACCTATCTGCTGTTTAAATTGATAACTAGAGAACAAAAAAGTTGCAAGAGCACTAAATCTTTTAGAAAATAGGCGTGAAGGTAAACTCAAAGTTACCTATTACAATACAAACTTTATAAAATTTCTGGTGTTTATACAAATGCCCTATTTGGTTGTTACTGATTAGTGAATTTTACGCAAATCTACTATTTGCGCTAGCCCTCTCTAATCCAGAAATAATAGACTAGAGGGTAGATAGCTATTCAACACCACCCACCGTCAACTCTTGGGCTACTTTTTACCAACGAATAGTGGAACTGATTGTCACATTATAACGTCCGCACGGCTGAAAGGGCAAGCATGTTCGGTGACGGGGTTCGAGCCCATAACCTGGCCATGCCAGAGTCCTAAATAGGCAGGAAACAAGTATCTAGAATTGCATAAGTACTATAATAAATTATAAAGCTTAAATGATAGCTAGAGAAAAGACTACTTGAGTTAATCTGTCTTCAAAATGTTCAAGCGAATAACAACGATATTTAAATGAAATTATAACACAATATCGCATGCACGATTTTAAAAATTACGTTCACAACATATATCAAATATATTCCGGACGGGAAATACAACTATTATGCTATTGGCATATTCGTTTATTTGAAATTAAGCACAAAGCTACACAATGGATTATCTGGGCTCTTCCCACCACGGGTATCGAAACCCGGTTTCTAGCGTTGTAAATCCGCAGACACACCGCTGTGCATGTTGATATGAATTGTTTAACTTAGAAAAATGTATTACCAAATAGCGCGCGCGCGTGTACATATATATATATATGTTACCATTTTCCTCTCACGCACTACATGTTATTGTTTGTTTCAAATTTCTGCGATAACATTAATTAATTCAGTCAGCCTGGGTTTACAAAATCATATTATTGCACCACTAAATAACAACTCATGTTACAATGAAAATTTATGTCATGTAAAGAAATATGACTACTTTCATTAAAGAAAGTTACATGCAGTTCTAAAACCCTTACACGATTCTTAAAACATGTTTGTTGTCGGAAACACGACATAACATGTATAATTTTACATAACAAGGCACTTCCTTTAATTATCTACTTACATGATTCGTTTTGCACGAAAAAAAAAAGAAAGAAATACTGATATGAAAGCAGGCAGTTTCATTAATTGAAACAAAACAATCTGTTAACAGATGTTGTAGTAACATTACATATAACGTAAAACATAACAAGAGAAGTTTATAAACTACAATAACATGTATAATTTTGGTTCATTTATTAATTTTCATTGCAATTTTTATAAACCCAAATGGTTAACGTTCATGAGTTTTGAATAAAAGATTCACTGTAGGATGTAGTTTTAAATAATTAAAAACATGCATAGTCGGTGAAAGGCGAAAGTAATATACGTTTAAAATGCTGCTTTTAAAGTTTGCGTCAATCAGATGGCACATTTTCAACATCAGAAAGTATTTGTAAGGCAATTGGATAGAGGGAAAATGATCTGGAAGATTTTCGTCAATTGGACCCTTGATCCGTTCGTGATTCAAGAGGCGAACGTCAGAATCACTTTGCGAATTTGTTTCGTTCAATCAACCAAAAGACTGCAAGAGTCGTATTCTTACAAGTTAGTTAAAATGGCGTAATTTTTAGGAAATTCGATAACGGGATTTTACTGTGAGTTGTGTAAAAGATATGTTTGATGATGCCTTAGAATAATGTTTAGAAAGTACCTAGTTAAAAAGTCCATTTTGTTTGTATTACAGATCTAAGTGATAACAGGTTTCCGCGGCAATATAGTGTAAGTTGTTCAGTTTGGTTTCCTGGAAGTTGTGAAAGTAAAAATACTATTTCTTGATATTTTGTGCATATATGTGTGTGTGCGTGCGCGCATAGTGTGTTAATAGTGTTGATAATGAAATGTAAGTTATCATATTTTTCAAGTTCCAAGCCATCAATTGCTCAGAACAGAAAGAAGGAAGAAGAAGAAATATTAAACAGAAAATAACTTAAATAATTGTCAAAGATCCTCACTGACGTATTTTAAAAGCTTTCACACTGACGCTAGTTCAACTGTTGCTGCATCTGACAGTGAATCATTACCAACCTAATTCGATGACGAGTAATCCACTTTTGAGACTAATAATGCTTGGAGACGGCTTGAATGGGTAACGAAGAAAACTTTAATATAAGTTTAACATAACAGCAAATGTACAACGTTTCGACAAAGTTTTTCTTAATTACCCATCCAAGCATTATAACCAGCCTAAGCTCTCACACTGAAGCTAGTTCGGTTGCTGTTGCAGTTGACAGTTGACCATTACCAACGTGTTTTAAAAGCTCTCACACTGACGCCAGTTCGGTTGCTGTTATAGCTGACAGTGAATCATTTACAACCTAAGTTCTCACACTGAAGTCAGTTCGGTTGCTGTTGCAACTGACAGTGGATCATCACCAACGTATTTTAGAAGTTCTCACACTGACGCACACTTTTTAAATGGAGACTTTGAAGCAAAATCGAACATTATATTTTTCTGTTCAAATACCAATTAAAGATCTAAATTAAGATAACTGAAGCTACGCTTTAATCATGCTTTGTTAAAATAATGGTAACCCAAACAATAAGATAAAAAAAAAAGAATTTGTCCTAAAAAAACATTTTAAATGAATTTTATGTATATTTTTATTCATACTAATGTGATGGACCATAATATAAAACACTTACAGAAAATGTTCATGACATGGTTGGGTAACTCCAATAAATATTAGGTCATCAAGAAATTAATGTCGCGTTTTGGAACACTTTCATTAACCACCCTCCAAGAAACGTACATCACGTATAGTAGTTAAACAAGCCGCCTAAACGTCATGTTAGTGTAGTCTATATAACGTGTAAAGTAGAGTATACTCTAATCCCTTATAGTGATGACACACGACGAGACACACATTCGGCATGTAATGCTGTTAGAATACAAGGTGGGAACCACAGCCTTTGTAGCCACAAAAAATATCAAAGAAGTCTATGGAAATGTTTTGAAAGTTCGTA